GTAAATTCGCTATTTGTGAGCTTTGTCATCAAAACTTATGGCTTAACTTTTCTATTTCGTGTTCTACTGACATTCCCGAAATTTGCTTAGACCCAAAGTCATGTGGTCTCTTGTGACGATGTGGTGGAGCGGTTAACGTGTCGAGATTACACGCTGCACTGTCATTGTTCAACTCCTGCTAGGGGTGTTGATAAGACCTATGCGAGGTCGAAACTGCAGTCAATCCTGGGTGAGAACAACTTTTGGAGAAGCAAGGTTATGTGAAATTCAATGGAAACGTCAGTTCTACTCATATCATTGTGGGAAAATTCAACTACCAGTCCTTCATCATCTTAAACGAAATAGGGTGAATACACTTCATATAAAATCGTCGGGTACCAAGCTCTATTGCTTATCGACTTAACAACTATTTTTTCCTTTATGATTAGAATAATGTAGTTTCTATAGTTTCTTCGATATTTTCACTATTGTGTTACCTATTTTTCCACTTTTTTCAAAATAGCTCTTGGTAAGCGATCCCATTCAGGTGCAACTTTCGCCTCATCTGTTACGTGTGGCGTTGACTGCAACTCCTCTCTTGGCTCTAGAAGCAGCTCTGGGCCTATCACGGTTCTTCGTCGTCGTCGTAGCAACTGTGCTGCCAGCACTCGTAGTGTCGCCTTTTCCCTAGGCTCTGCCAAAAGTTCCTGGACCTCAGAACCCGCGTACTATGCATGTGCGGCTTCGCCAACCAACACCTTTAGCCTACCTCCCCACTCCGGCTCCTCTAGTGTCTTTAATGTTGCCAATAACACCTCATCGGTTTCTTGCTCTTCCTTTTTGGGCTCCTCCACCGCTAAGACCCATCTCAGTCCTCCTCGTATGACTTCCTGTGCCGCGGTTGTCTCTCCTGGTGGTGCAGCCGCAGCCGTATCCCCCGTTGACACTGGCGTCGGGGCATTCAGCGACGAAACCCTATCACGCATCGACATCAGCAGCGCCCCACTTACACTGACTGCAACCTGGCCTCTGCCGGTGTCTAGGCTGCCTGTGGCGCCAATACCTCGTCTGCCGAAGCGGTGTGGCGAGCTAAGACAGCCTATTCTTCCGGCCATGCGAAGTGAAGTTGGCCACGTGCGGCCGCTCGTTCAACCCGCCATTGATGCTGGTGGAGATAGAGCAAGCTCTATAGTCAACGACTTTGGGGATCCCTCTTTTTTGACTGCCAATGAGATGGATATAAGATGCTCCACATTAACTGGACTCGTGTCGGTTAGCCTGCTCTCACAGCACCAGGTAAGCATAGTTTCGCGGGCCATTGTAACATACAAAATTGACTTCTTGACGGAACTTTGCAAATAGAGGATTGGAACTCATCGCTCAATTTTATGTGGTTTATTTTAGAATCACACAATGTTAATGCCTCCATTATAGTCTGCGGCTTTTTAGCCTTTTTCCATTTTTAAAACTTGTCAAATATATTTTTAGTAAAATGTGTGTATTTCAATGGAATTATATTCAAATTTTGTCAGTAACATTAATGTGATTTTCAAGTGTTTATTATAATGCTTTGTGTCTACGTACTGAATTTCCAAAAGTCCAGCAAATGGTAATTTTTGATCAAACAACATATCTATGCTTATTCCAAAGTTCTATACAATACGAAATGAGTTATATACGACATTAAAAATTGATATATCCTGAAAAAAAATAATAAAAGTGAGCTAAAATTCTATTTTTCATGGCTTTAACTTTCCATTCGTTGGTTGAAAATTAAAATAACCCATATTTTAACTAGGACCAATTTAGGTTGTCAAATCTATTTAAGACTCGCCAATTTTCTCCGCTGCTTTAGAGCCATTTCCAAAATTTCGCATTCATTGAGTTGGTCTAATATTTTTCTTGATATCATGGGTATCTAGAAGAATGTACCCAGTCCTGCATCCTCTGCCATTATGCTCATGATAATTTCCAGTACCGAGTCGTTTGCTAGGCATGTTCACATAGGCTTCCAGGTGTCATAGTCTACATCGGCGTGGAGAGGCGTCATTTTTTGAACTCGATTGCAAATGGTCAATTTGATGATCTTTAGTCTATTCTTTGAGATCGTAAATGCTTGATAAAAGTTGATATATAAGTTGTTTGACCTTGTTTTCGCAACTTGGTCATTTTGGTAGGAAGACTTAGAGGAGCGCACCTTGTCCTGAGTCCATTGTATGCACAATTATTTCCAAAGTCGGACCGTGGACTTGGTACATTCCCAAACGTTTCGCCGGCATCGTATTCGGCATCT